AAAGAAATCAACTAAGTGGTCATCGGGACCATCACATGATCATACGGAGCACAACCTTGTACACATTTTCGGTATGCGATTTGATGATCACTGGGTTCATTATTCTTTATGTGTCCCATTTAATCCAAATTATATTGGTTTATACAGAATTGAATACTTAATAATGTTGAATTATGTAATACAAAACACGTCTCTAGTCAATGTTGTGTAATGCAGCATGCACGTCTCTAGTCAATGTTGTATAATGCAGCATTATGTAATACAAAACACGTCTCTAGTCATCAATAAAATTACAGAAATAGTAAAAATTAATTTATAGGTAATTTCAGGTAAACTGCCAATCAAGCATAGTACGTAAATACGTACGTACGTACTTAGCAAAAATAAGCCATATTTCTTCAGACATTATAAATAATATTATTTATAGCATTTTTTTAAATACTTTATTATATTCGTTTATACGTAGTATCTACCGTAACTTTTAATTGTGTTCATTCACAGTGCCTTCAATGATGCTAAAATAATATTAGATATAGTAACTCTGCTTGACATCATTAAAAAATTTTTATATAAAAAAAATGAAATAAAAGAAAATGAACTTTAGTTGTTAATAAATCAAGTCAAAATTTATTAGAAAAATATTTAATAAACAAGTTTTATTGACTAAAAAAGAGCATAATTTGTTATTAAAAAATGATTCATTTAGCTATTATTACGTATTCCACTTTATCAACATTAAAATAATTTTGTACTGAGTCCATAACAATAAAGTGAATTAAAATTATATGAGGAATATAATACAAACTATTTGTAAAGAAAATGGCTATTTTCTATTAATTTACAAAAAAAAGTTGTAGATAAATGCGCTAATTTAACTCGCAGGCGCTTTAGGAGTGACAGTGGTGCTGGTTATAGGTTGAGCACCATTTGTAACAGCAAGAGTAGGTCCAGCTTGACGTTTTCTCTTACCACCTTTACCGTATAAAAATTCGAAAAGATCAAAGTGAATATAATCTTGAAATGGTTTAGTACCACCATGGCCATCAAAGCATAATTCTTCTGTCAAATTATAGGCAACATTTCCATCACAATCTTCGAGAATGAGACCATAACAATTTTTATCTGGATTATCAAAGCCTCTTGAGAAAAGGCCATCGACAAAGGTTTTATCACATTGATCGTCTTGAGAGAGAGTAACAAGACCGGTCACACCATTGTCATCATCAAATTCTGCTGTTGCAACGACATAATCATAACATTTCTTCTTATCATCACCACGTTTAAGCAAAGGATTAACATCTCTTTGAGAATTTTGAGGAATTCTTGCAGCAGTTAACTCTTTGATGGTAATAAAGAGTAAAGTTAATACAAGAACGAAGTATGTAATTTTCATATTCATTTTTTCTTTAGAGAGTTTTCTTAATGGTAATTATTCTCAAAATTTATTTTATCAGTAAATTTTGATGAGAAAAATGAAAAGAAAAAAGCCTCGGTTTATATAAAAAATTTCTCCATACATTGTATTACGAAGCAAAAAACAATAATTCACAAAAAAAAAAAAAAAAAAAAAAAAAAGAGAAGGCGTAGATTTCCCGAGCAAAGAAAAGGATCATGAATGACATCTATTTGCGAAGAAAGATGATTCAATTGTAACGTCATTCAGTTACATTTTCATATAACTAAACAAAGGAACTATTACTATTTTGTTTATTCTATTTTAAGCTTAGTTTTAATGAAAAGATTTAATTAAAGATTATTGCTTAAATGCGCGAAGATTTCTGACTAATTTTAGAACTTGATATATTTTCGTTTTTTGGTAATAATACTACAAAAAAGAAATCGGAAGATGAAGCAATAAATTCTTATTTGAGTAACTGCAAGACATAATTAACGTGAAATTAATGCGTGCTACAATGTTATTAGGCATCTGATCGAAATAAAACATTGACTTAAATAGTAATTTAAATAGTAACGGTAATTCAAAGCCAAGAAAACTAAATAGCCATTATTTTTTGTTATACCAAACTACATAATCATAATTCCTAATTTTGACAACCTAATAATCATTGCTTTTTGTGATTCAAAACAACATCGAAAAAAAGATAAATTTTATATTGTGAAATTTATAATTTTGTGTTGGGAATAAGTTATATGAAATTACACCTTTACTAAGTTTTTATCGCCTATGTTGCAATATCTTAAAAACTGGCCAATTAATTAATGTGTGGTGCACTAATTAAAAATACTCTATGCCTTTAAGACCTTCCCACCCCCTAAATTATAATCCTAAATACGTACTAACCCCAACATGAAAAGTTTGTGCAAAACTCTATAAACAAAACTTAGAAAAATATAAAACGTATAATGGTGCAAAACACACTATAGATGCGTTTTTAGGGTTACAAAAAGATCCTACGATCTATTGATCGAACTAGATGATAACCCGGATAGATTATTGGCATATCCGGATGAAATTTTATTATTCAAGAACTATTAAATATTAGTCAATACTGTACACACCAAAGACGCATATGATAACTACTTTAGTTTTATTTAGATTTTATATGTGCATATGATTTTTTTTTCACAATAAAATACTTATAAATGTTTGCAAATAACGTGTATACGTACAACCATTTTTAAACACTATCACTATTATCACTTATTTAAGTGTATACAACCATTTTTAAACACTATCACTATTATCACTTATTGAATTATAACATCGTATTCATAAATATGTTTATACGTACATTAATACAATAAAGATCATAAAGTATGGCTAATTTTGCTTTGCCTTTAACGACCGGTGGCCTTGGGCCCAATATACGGCAATTAATTCATGCGTACTACATACATATGTACTGTACGTACTAATTGTATACGTAAACAAATACACAGGCTTGAAATACATTGAATATTTCTAAAGTCCCTATATTTTGAGGTGAATATAAAATTTTAAATACCGTAAAACTCAAAAAATTAGTAACACATCCTATACCTCCTTTTTCTATCTCAGATTAGTAAACAATAAAATTTCTACACAAATTATTCCCGATAATCTGATTAAAAAAAGTAGGGTAGTGTTAAAAATTCCGCACAAATATACTGTAAAAAAAATTTTTTTTTATACAGTATGATATTTTATTTTTTATGTAGATAACACATGCATAACGAATTTTTAAACTGGATATGGGTTGTAGTGCTTATATTCTGAGTTTTACTGTACCAGGTATATTTTAGAGTTATCTGAAAACTTTACAATAATTAACGGAATGGTCACCATTTATGGTATATACAAATGCCTCTGAATAAATCATAAAAATGGCACAAAGGAACTTTCATTTTTCTAACATTTAATGTTCTTTGTAAGTTACGAAAAATTTCTAAATAATAAAGTAATAAAACTCGCGATGAAATTATTTAGTCTTACTTATAACATTAGAGCACAATGCCTATTTTTAATATCCATTTATGCTCTTATAACATTGACGAAATCACAGATTACTTCTTTTAATTATACAGAAACAAATTTAACATCTTCAGCAATCGGTCATCAACCCTTTGTAGTAAACCTTCAAACTTATGATGATGGAACAATTCTCGCCCTTATTACACGATTCGACAAGACAATAGTCGCAAATTGTACGAGTTATTTGAGAGTAGCCGATATTGGTGGATTAGAACAGATATTACGTATAAGAGTTATTCGGTTAGATGGATCTGTTATAGAGATCAATCTCAACAATATCGACTTAAAATTAGATCTTCTGAATTATTGTATGATGGGCACCCGGGATTATATTCAAATATATGCATTACAAAAACAGTTCATCCTGGTAACTTATGTGAATAGTACAAATTCATCTGATCCTACAACTTATGAAGAATGGGGAATGATTATTGATTGGAACGGCAATATTCTAAGGTGTGACTGTGATTAACTTGTAAATTTATATTTTTTTTGAAAATTATTAATTTTAATCTATATTTTAGTAAAACTTTTTTTGGTCCGTCTTTTGTTGTAAATAATCAGTGGAATCCGCAAAGTACAATTAAATTAAACGTAAACAAAAAATTGGGATTTCTTAGATTAGACTTAGTAAACAAGAATAATTTTTATGCGTATGAATGGCAACAATATTCAATGTAATTTAATCTTCTTAACATCATCATTGTTTGATCGTTTTTTTTTTTAATTATTTATGATAATAATTACGCATAATAATAATTTTTCTTTGTAATTGTATAGTGATAATTCTGGAAAGTTATCAATGATTCAAAATTCTAGTATACCACTAGACCAAATTCAAGGTGGAAACCTTACAAGTTTTATTGTCACACCAATGGCCACTATTGATGGTGGCTATGCTTTAATCTATGCTAATTCTACCCGTGTAACCGATAACAGCAATTCATTACTCATACATGGCTCAGTATACGCTAATTTCATAACATATAACAATACACTTCAAGATAGAACGATTCTTCTCTATACATTTAACAACAATATAACTTTTAATGCAATTTATTGCGACATAGTATCTGTTGGTGTTGGTCAAGTTTGCACATTCTCTATCAATAACACCATAGTAAATAACATCACAACAGAATATATAAGAATTTACTTCTTAACGTCTGGATCAGTGTTAAATGTAGATGTATTATCCGACATCCCTAATGTCAATACTATAGCTTCAATAAATTGGGATGTTACCTCAATGCCATACGGTGGCTACATATTACATACTTATGATAGCAATGGTACTACATATATCTATGCTTATGATCAATATAACTTACCAACACCTTTGGTATCAGCAATATCGTCAAATCAAGCTGTTGCTATAAATAATTTTTCTACTGCACTTTATACATATGGTGCAAATGTTATCCTGAACAATAATAATACTTTTTTACTCCCAACATTCGACACAATTAATGACAAAGCTTCTTGGTCTTTAATCAATATCCCACTGCCTAAAGTTTTAGAATATCAAGGTATTTCTATTATTACATAAAATTTGGGGTTTCTTATGTATTTATAAAATATTTATAAAATATTTAATATATATATTTAAAAATAACTTTTATCTATTTAGATCACGGTTACGGTAACCTTCAGATAGACCAAGTTAGCCCATCTGTTAACAGTAGTGTCGATTCGTCTATTACAAATTTAAATGTAACTTTCTTTAGTCCTGTCATTTTGTCTACCGATCCGGTACCTAATTATTTGACCATTTACAAGGCTTCTGATAACAGCATTAGACAAAAAATTTCACCGTTAATGTCGGACTTTTGTAAAACCAGTTCAGATGGGAAAACTATTACTATAAATTTTATTACTAGTACATTTAATGAGTATAATGAGAGTTATTATGTGCAAATGGATAATAATTTTGTTAAGAATAGTGTTTATAAAGAGCCTCTACAAGGGATTGGTGATAGGATTTGGAATCTCTCTTCAAGTAATATTTTATTACGTTATCTGGTTTTGTTTTCAATAAACTGTTTCTTATTTTATTATTTTTACCCATTCTAGATTATTTGAACAATAGAATTAATTCTTCAGGTATTATCTTTTTATTCATATCGATCTATATGAATACATATCTTAAAAAACCAATTTATCTACATTATTATAGGTATTGCCATAGTTGGTACGGTCGGCTTAACAGAAGATGCCATGAAAAAATTCTCATCATTCTCTAAATCGGATCGATCCAAATATTTTGCGCAATTGTTAAATGAAACTGCTGGGAAACTACCAGTTCGCCGTGAACGTCTAACTACAAATGAAAAATTTCAATATATTAATTCCGGCCAGCAAATAATTTTTTCTATTAAAGTAGATTTACCAATACCTGAGTTAAATGAAAACACAGCTGATAGTGTGGTATCAGATCTAAACGCTATGATTGTATATAAGCGAATCACAACCTTTTCTAATGGTTTTACAAATCATTTGGATAATATTTATGGTTTTAGTATAATGGGTAAGTTTAATGATAATACATTTTTATTTTTTTAAAAAAAAAAAAATTTATTAACTCTTATACTGTATTTTAGGTGATTTTTGGGCCGATAATGAAACCTTAATTGCTGTATCAATTTTAGTTCTTGTAGTAATCATGTTTCTATACATGTTTTCATTCAGCCCTCGTTTCGGTCTCGATGGCCAGATTATTGAAATGGTTCATGTATACACAAGTTATGCAATCATTGCGATCAATTTCTTTTTTTTGACTTATTTTGTCTTTATCAATACTCAAGACAAACCAGAACTTTTTTTGCCAAGGTATTTTTTCATTTCTATTTATAGTTTTTAATTATTAACGAATTAATTTATTTATTTATTAATTATTATTCTTATTTTTTTTTTTTTATATATATTTTAGTGTAATTCTTTGGTTCATTCAAATAAGCATAAATTTAATTCTGGCTATCGTCGTTTTTATCCATATTGCTAGACCAACAAAAGAACAGGAAGAGAAAATGGCCGATGAAATTGTTGGTGACGCAAAGAAGAATATTTTTGGTAAAATAGATAAAAAGGTTGAAGAATTTAGTGATGACATAAAGAATGAAATTATCTGTGAAAAAGATAAACTGCTCGAGAATATTAAAGATGACAGAGAGAAGAAAATTATCGATAAAATATTCAAGAAAGCTGGTGATATCATAAAGAATAAAATTATTAATGAAAAAAATAAAATTCTCGAGAAAGTTGGTGAAGTTGACATGTTAAAGAAATTTTATAATTACATGCGCGATGAATTTAGTGGCATAAAGAAAAATGTTGATGGTAACATAGAGAAAAAGCTTAAGGGAGTTGTTAGTGACATAAAGACAAAGCTTGAGGGAGCTGTTGGTGACATAAAGAAAAAGCTTAAGGAAATCGCAAAAATGGTTCTCGATAAAATAGCCTACGAAGTTAATGGTGAACTAAAGAAAATTATCGTTGAAATGCTCAAGGAGGAAATTATCGATAAACTTGTCAAGAAATTTGTTAATAATATAGAGACCAATAATAAAATATTCAAGAAAATCAGTAATGACATAAGAAATAAAATTATCAATGAAACAGATAAAATGCTCAAGAAAGTGCTCGATGACATGTTCGAAGCAATTGGTGGCATGTTGAAGAATTTTGATTACAAGTTCGAGAATGTTAATGAAATAAAGGAAAAGATCAGGGAAATTTTCAAGGAAGAAGACATAAAGAAAAAACTTAGTAAAATTCTAGAGGAAGTTGTTGGTGATACAAAGAAAAAAGTCAAGGAAGTTGGTGACAAAATCGACGAGAAGAAAATTATCGATAAAATAGTCAAAGAAATTGGCGGTGAAACAGAGAACATTATCGATGGGATACTCAATGAAATACTCAAGGAGATTTTTGAAGAAACAAATAGAATATTTGAGAAAGTTGGCGAATGCATAAAGGAAATTATCGATAAAAAGCTCGAAGGAGTTGGTGATGACACGAAGAAAATTATCGATGAAATTCTCAAGAATGTTGATGGTAACATAAAGAAAACTATCGATACAATGTTCGAAAAGAAAATTGTCGGCATAAAAGTTAAAACTATCTATGAACTTTCTGGTGGAGTATATAAAAAAATTTTTCGCGAAGAAAGCGGGAAAAAAATTGAAGGTGCTGATGATACACGCAATATTCCCAGACCATATTCTATTGAAGGTTTAATAAGAATTCCTGATGAAAAGGTTTCTGATGGAAAGGTTGCTGATGGAAAAGATTCTGCCCAACTTTCATACGATGATACGAATGAAAAAAAAAAGAAATTTGATGAATACATAAATGAACGAGTTGTTAATATCCTAGAAGACATAGAAAATACTCTTGACGGAGTGGAGTCTAACCAACCCAACGATGATAAGAGCGTTAAACAAGTTATTAAAGTCACTCTTGATAAAAAGGAAACTCGTGCTAAAAAGGATTCTAATAAAATTAATTCTAACCAACCTCCAAGCGAAGATACGGAAGACAAAATAATTGAAGAAGTTTTTAAAAAGGTCCCAGAAGACGCTTGTGAAATGATAAAGAAAGTTTTTGAAGATGACAAATTATTTGATAATTCTGGCAATGAAATTTCTGACGAAATACAAACCAGAATTAATAACAAGATGCCCGAAATTCTTCGTAAAATCTCTTTAAAAATATCTAATCAAAGTTCTTATACTCCCTATGTGGATAATATACTTTCTGCAGAAATTTCTACAGAAATACAACTTACTACAAATACCCAATACGCAGAAACTCAATCTACAAAAACACAACTTACTAAAGAACCACAACTTACCAAAGGACTACAACTTACTACAAAGATACATCTTGTTAAAGAAATAAGTTCTCCTGCGATAAAATCTATAATCTTTGCCGAGATACATATTGAAATTGCCATTATATTACTAGAAGTACTTCTTTACAACAAATTACTGGAAAATTTTTTTAACCTATTACAAGAAAAAATTTCGGACGATATTAAAGGAATTACAGAATTTCAAAAATTTATTGAAAAAAAGACTTTAATGAATAAACATGAAAGGGGTGGAATTTCTGCTAAAGTTTCTACTAAACTGTCCAGTGAAATTTCTAATAAAATCAAAGAAGAGACTTCTAATGGGGTTCACGAAGAAATTGAAGAAATTAAAAAATATTTTTACGAAATTCTTAATATAATTTATAACTCTGTAAAGGTTATGGATAGTAAACTAAAAATCTCTAAAGAGCAAGAAACTTCTAATGAAGGACAAACGTCTAATGAAGAAATTTATGATGAGCAAGAACCTCCTATTGAAGAACAAAAGCTTGCTAAAGAACAAAAACTTGCCAAAGAACAAAAGTTTGCTAAAGAGATACAAAATTATCGTTACACAATAACTTATGAAATTGATGAAATCAAAAATCTATTTCATAAGACAATGAATGAAAATCTTCATGTTATTAAAATCACAGAAAAAGATAACCTTGTTATATCACTGAAAGATATAATACATAAAGATGTAATCGACAGTAAGACTGTAGATATGGAACATATCATATTCATCATATGTGCAATACTCGATAGCGAATCTTTAGTATTTTTGAATAACATAGCAGTAGATTATACTAAAAAAGTAAAAGAATATTTGAAGACTAACTTCGAATTTAATGGTCAGAAGAGTGACTGCGAAAATAATGATCAAAATAGTGATCAGAAAGATGGCAACAAAAATATTGATCAAAAAATTGATCGATATATTGAGAGGTTTATTGTAATTAGAGTACTGGTAGAAATTATTTGTAAGAATATTCCACTTATTATTATTATGGTATGTCATTAAATTTTATTTTTTGTTGAACGTATGCAATTTTGATATAAATATTCAAATATCTTATTTTACATCTTTGTTTAAATAGGCGATTTATACTTCATCAATAGTGGTCTACTCTTATATGCCGTTTATGGCATTGATAACGTCCTGTATGAAGTTTCTTGCACTTATTATTCTAGAATATCATCGTTTGAGAGATTTCATTAAGACAATTGGCGTAAATAAAAATTCAAATATCTTAGCGCAGTAGCTACATAGTGACGATTAAATTTGATATAATTATGTAATTACTACGCAGTTACTGCATATTAAGATATTTAAGTTTTTGTTATGTTAATTTTTAGTTATTTATGCAAAATATATTATTATTCAATATTTTATTATATTTATCAATAAATTTATAATATTTACATATTTTTTTATACTAATTGCATTTCGCATTTTCAATATCGATATGGTTTAATTGTTTTAATACGAAGACTACTCATATAAACGCATAATAAGATTGGGTTAGTTCAAATATGTTATGTCAAGAATAGAGCGTATTATTTATCTGTGAAACAAACGGTATTAATCCACCAAATCAATTAATCGGTTGTCAAAGTATTAATTGTACAATAATACTGTTAATCAATGCATTTTTTATTTTTCATTTTATTTACGATAAGCAATAGAATTATTATGAAAGAACTGATAGTATAGGGTTAAATTTCACAAGAAAAAAATTTTGTTAGGGTACAAAAGTCGATGCAACCAAAATTCAATACGTAAATTGCTCATGTGATCTACGATCTTACTTTTTATTGAACAGATCAACCCTGAGTCACAAATTTTAAATTTGGATGAGCGTTGGTGAATTAAAGCCTGTATTATAAGTTACTAACTAGATTTTTAATATGTTAACTTATTTCGAAAATAAGTGAGAGTTTAAAAAAACCATTTCCGTTTTAAAACTCCGAAACCAGAAAACGAAATAGACGTATTTTGCTAATGATATATTATCAATATGATATATATAATTTATAAATCACTTTTTTTAAAACAAATACGTCACTAATTTGATTCGAAATCAGAAGCCTGAACATTAATTCTGAATCGCCCTATCATATTAATTCTAACAATATGATGTCCGATTGTTTCATAAGTTCTAATACACGGTCCCTATTTTTTAAGTGACCTTATATAGAGATACATGATCTCTATATAAGGCCACCTAAAAAGTAGGGACCATGTATTGAAACTTTTGAAACACCCGGTATAATAAACGAATCATCGTAAAATACCGGGTGTTTGGACAGGACTTTTTTTATATCTCCTATCATATTGGTTTTCTTTATTTTTATACCAGTATTATTTAGTGGTCAATAATAAGGTCCTGTCCAGGGACTTATCAAACGTCCGGTATAAATATATACTTTTAAACTAAAAACTAATATAAAACTAACATAATAGACAATATTTTAACAAACCAGTCTCGGCACTATTAAAAGAATAAGCTTTTTTTAAAATTTGTATTAATTTAATTTTCGTTAATATAGAGTAAAGGTATATCCTTAATTTTATTGACTTTTTTTTTTTTTTTTGCGTAATGGGGATACATCTCAATTTCTGGATTAATTAATGAGATGTGCGATAAATGATTAACCCGATATATCTAACCAAATAAAACTATGGTATACTATAAATTTTAGTGGAATAAAATCAATTTAATACAATAAAAATAAAAGTGGCATTATTTACTGTGAGGATGTGACCTTTATAAGTATATTTATAAACAGGCTATATTAAACTCTAAAAATTTTCTTAAATACAACAGTTTTATACTGTGAGAAGTTCAAATACGTAAATTTTGTACAAATTTTTTTGTCTATGTATAAAAAATAATAGCTCACTATTAATTTGGCTCTCTAATATTCAATTTTCTTTTACGATACGTATAATTTCTAAAAAATTAGCAGTAACTAATTAATAGTAGCTAATGATGAAATTATCTAGTAATCCTTGTAAATTTATTTACCGGTATTTATTTTTGATATTCCTTTGCATTCTCATAATATCAACGAATCCAGCTCTTGGCGACTTTACCTATACAGAGAGTACAACAGGTACCTCATACCCTCTTGATCCACCGCAAGTAGTAGACGTTCAAACTTATGATGATGGAACAATTCTTGTTAGTATTGCCCGGGAAATTACACAAAACAGACAAGTAATAAATCAAACGCAATCATATAATTGCGCGGGACAGAATTTAGAGCAAATATTACGGCTAAGATTAATTCATTTAGATGGAAGCGTTCAAGAAATTAATCCCCATTTGAATCTGGATCCTGTGAATTATTGTATATTTAATGATTCAAATGGAAATCCAGTGAATCCTATTTCAATATTTCCTTTATATGAACCGTATATTCTAATAAATTATGTGAAAGCCCCAGTTTTAAATGATCCTACAACTTATGAAGAGTGGGGAAATGTCATTGATTGGAATGGTAGAAATATAAGGTGTGACAACGATTTTATATTTGTAAATCTTAAGATTATTATTTTAGATTAACATTACTAATATCGATCTATTATTTTGCAAATCAATAGTGAAGTGCATTATGGTCCGTCTTACAGCTATTACCCTAATAACAATCGTTCTAACACTCCGATTTGGAGTCCGCGAAGTATAGTTCAGCTAAATGTAAACAAGGAACAAGGATTTTTCAGACTCAGCACTACATCAATTTACTCCTCTACGAACCTACAATTTTCAAACTGGACAGAATGGCAGCAATATTCAGTGTAATTTGATGATCATTATTATTATTGGTTTAATTATTTTAATTAAAATATTTCATAACGATAATAATTATTTATTATATTATATAGTAATTCTGGAATTATATCAAAACTGACAAATGCTAATATTTCGGTAGTTGATCCGAATGCTATTAGTTCTAGTGCTTCTTACATGATCACGACAATATCCACTATCACTGGCGACTATGCTATATTGACCGTCAACTCGTCATTGGTGGGGACCAACACTTCATTATACACACGCGCCGGATTGTATATGACCACTATACCCTATAATCAGTCTTACGCAAATAACCAAGTTCTTCTATATCAATTAAATTTACCAAATTTAACTTTTCTTGGACTTTATTGTGATATAGCACCTAGCGGTATAGGTTATGTATGCGTAATTGAAGTTAATTCTAATCAAACACAATCGACTTATGTGAAAGTTGCTTTCTTAACATCCGCATCGGTGACGCAGATCAATTTACTAACCACTAAACCTGACCTTAGCACAACTGGGATCACGTTTCAAGGTCTTGGAATGCAATCAATGGCATTCGGTGGTTATATATTTTATGCTATGAATCAAAACCACGGTTATTATATTTGGCCTTATGATGAGAACAACAATAAATTACCCCAATTAGGACCTTTTACTGCAAATAAATACGCAGCAAATACTCTTTATAATAATATTAACCAAAATAATCTTAATGCTGCAAATGGTATTATGAATAATAATAATACTTTTATACTCGCATCATCCACACCCGGTACAAAGACTTCGTGGTCTCTGTACGTGATTCCATTACCTACGGTTATACCTGGTCATAATATTTTTTCTTTATTTTATGAATCTGTTTTTTTAATATATCTATATTAAATATCTAATATTTTTGTTATTTTGTAATTTTGTATTGGGAATATTAGACCATGGTTACGGTAATATTGAAGTAATTAATGTTGATCCACCACCCGTTAGTACGAGTGGCACTGTCGATGCAAATACAAATAGTTTAAGCATTACCTTTAGAAATCCTGTTATTTTGTCAACCGGTTCTATTATCATTTATAAAGATTCTGACAAAACAATAAGGCAAAAAATTCCCGCAACTATGCAATACTACGTTAGATTTATAGATAATAATCATACTATTGTCAATATAGACATCATTGGTAGTACATTTAATCAATACGGTGAAATTTATTATATGCAGATGGATGCTAACTTTGTCAGAGATGAAAAGCTCTATGAACCTTTAACAGGAATTGGTGAAGAGATTGTAAAATATAAATCAAGTAAATATTTTCGGTTTATTTTATATTTTATTTTTTATATACTTTTATTTATTTTATATATTTCAATTAATCTTTTTATATAATTTAGAAAATATACCACGTCCCTCAGGTAATAAATTAACATAGGATCCTCATAATTTTAAAATATTCAAATCAACTAAATCCTTATTCTTTTTTTTGTAGAGGAAGCTGCTATCTATGCAGCTCGTCTCACTGTGGATGCAACAAAAACATTTAACAAGCTCCCTGATGCCAATAAAACACTTTACTTAAAAAATCTATTACAAAATATTGCTACAAAATTACCATGTCGACCTGAACTTCTAACTACATATGAGTCCCCTCAGTATATTTCTGTCAATTCTATAGTAAATGTTCAATTTTCTGTCCGTGTAAATAAAACAAATCCAGCGCTAGATAAAAATAATACTGTTCCAGGGATTGTCTCAGATATAAATAATATGATACTTAATAAGAGAATCACTACTTTCGCTGATGGTATAACAAATGATTTAGATGATACTTTTGGCTTTCGAAAACCAGGTGATATATTGGGCGATTATAAAAATCAAATTATTCCCTTTATATCTATTGCCGCAGTGAATGCTGTACTTTACATAGCATCTCGATCCAATAAGGTAAAAATTTACATAATTTATTTCGAATGACTTTTTATTATTAATATTATAAATAATATAATATTTTACTGTGAATATCTTTGATAGCCTGTACCTGGCGATGCCAAACAAATGTTAAATACAGCCACAGCTGGACTATTCTCTGCCTCTCATACGAGTTTTTCAAGCATATTTTCTTTTTCAGATGTTAACAATTACCCAGCATTCAGCGTATCAAGGTGTTTTATTAATTGCCTATATTGAAAAATTAAATCAATTTTTTATATTTTAGTTAACTTTTTTATTTATTTATTTATAAACAGTAAAATCTTCTTGATTACTCCAATAATAATAAATATCACTATGTTTTCCTATATTATGTGCAAAGGAGGATTCAATGGAGCTAAAGTTATGAATTTGGTACTTATTGGTCTAACATTATATAATAGTGAAACTTTACTACTTATAAACGAAGGCCAACTTAAAGACATGTTTGGTAAAGATTTTGAAGCTACAGCTAAATATAGAGGTTTTGCTGATATTTTACTTAAGAGTATTCCACAGCTGATTACCCAGGTAAAGTTTTTTTTATTATTGATTGTTTATTTGTTTACTCTTAAATCACATTAACTAATATTTTGTTTTTTGAATAGATTTTATATTTTAAATTAATTGTGACTTATAGTATTATTCCATTCCTTACACTATGTTTAACTGCCTTTATGATATTTCTTACGACTCTTCAATCGATACTTAATTTGTTCATCAAAAAGGATAAAGTCAAAGATGAAAAAGAAAGTATTGAAGAGAAAAAAGTTGAAAGTAAAGGAGAGGGAAAAGATGAAAAGAAAAGTTATGATGAAGAACCCTGAAGAGGAAAGTAATGATAAGAAATTTGGATAGTTGTAGGGAAATGAAAGAATGTATTCGAATCAAACATGTATCTAGTTGAATAGCATGTTAATATTGGAGTTTTTTTTCACTGCATTATTGTATTACGCTACATCTATATTTATTTGTATTAGGTTTTATCATTTGATAAAATTGACAAAACTGATTTTAATCCAAAATAAAAAGATTATAACTATATTAATTAAATAATTGAACTATTGCTATTATTAAATTACGTAAAAGTCAATCCATTATAAAACATCAAAAAATAGATATAGCTTAATAATTCTTTAATTACTTTCAATATGTCAAATAATATCGATAATAATTCAATGCCTAACGATTGCTCAGTTTCTTCGATTAAGAGTATTAATCAGAATACTCAACTTTTTTAAATTTTAATTCGCAGAATCGTATTGTGAAATTTTTATAATACAATCTAACCGACATCAAGCAAGTCATGGAAATAATCATTGAATATTGAAAATGATAATAATTAGCTTTAAAAAAAACTAAAACAATGCTAATATTAATTAACTATAAAAAAAAAAATGCTCAAAATACATTTTTTTTACTTTTTCTTAACTTATTGTGAATATATAAAGTTTTATCAGTTTATATATCAGTCTATATTTTAATAGCTTTCATATTTTAACTTAATTCGTGATCTATGAGGGAACCAGTGAAAAAACATATTACACTGGCGATCATAAATAATGCATCAAAAAAAAAAATTCGTTAGATCGAATTTTCTCGCGCAATTCCGCGTGTATCCTTTTGTTTTTTTGTTTTTTTATTCGTGAATGGCATCACTATTTACTTGTAGAATTTTATTAAACATCTATACTGCCAATCCGAAAATAATAACGCGTGTGTTATAAAACACGTGATGCATTACTTTGCTTGTTTTTATCGAAGATCAGATGGCTTATGTGTACTACGTGACACATTTTTATAAATAGATTTTCTTTGTCTGATTTTGCATCTTTTGCAATGTTAGAATTAATTGATAATCAAAAAAGAACCATACCACTTCTACCCAAAGGGCACAAATTTTGCTTTTGCTACAAAAAGGATACATGATGAGGGCTATAGGCTGAACTCACCATATTGCCTTCTCTACCATCTCCCATATCAAGAAAAGGTGGCTTGAGAATCACATGCTTCAAGATTTAGAAAGAGTTGGTCACCCACTTTTATTGGGTGAACCAGCCCAAATAAAGATTGTGAATCTAATTACCTCTTGATGCTGCTCTATGGTTGTGCAGGTGGTCTCCCACCTGAAAAAAAAGAAAACCTTGAAGTTTTAGCTTCTACTATTCATTATATACTCCAGGAGCACAGTTTGATTTTTGGATTAAGTAAAAAAAACTATTTCTAAGTGCTGGTTACTAAAAAGCATAGCTTGATTTTTGCAAAAAATATAAAGACTGGTCTGTCGAAGAATAGTTAAAGGTAATTTAGTTAGATGAATCATGATTCTAAATTTTTGGCTTAGATGGGAAGCAGTATTATTGGAAGCATCCTGAGGAACTATTAAACCACTTCTATGTACAACCAAAAATAAAGCATGGGGATGGCTTCATTATAATTTGGGGTTGCTTTATATCCTATGGTGTTAGAGAGCTTTGTAACATCGACAGTACAATAGATAGTGAGTTGTACTGGCTGATACTTCATGATGACCTTCTAGAAACCATAAGGAATCACCAATTTAGAGTGCAGGATATAATTTTTCAGCAAGATAGTACCTCTTGCTATACTGCAATCTTAACCAAATGTTAGTTTAAAAAAATGAGATAAGAACCTTCAAGTGGCCTTCTGTATTCCTGATCTAAATCTAATTAAACACCTGTGGGCTAAAGTTAACCATCGCTTGAAAAGGCTCCCTGGCAATATTTTGAGCAAAAGAGACCTCTGGGAGAAAATTCAGGTGGTATGAGAAAAATCGATTTTGAGACCTGCATGAACTTGATTCATTTAATGTCAAAATGAGTTTGCAACATTATTAGAGCTTGGGTGGCTATACTAGATAGTAAACATGTAGAGGAATTAAATAGAAAAAAAAATTTGTTTTTTTAGTGTACAAAAAAATTTTTGTATTTTATTTTTGTACTGTTGTAAAAACGAGCAAAAGAAATGCAGCATGTAAATTCAAATAAAGCTTATGCATCTAAAAAATTTAATTGATTAATTTTTTAAAAAATTTTTATTTGTGAAGGGGATAGTATTTACAAATAAAAAAAAAAGTAAAAGGATATATATGGAATTGTGCGAGAAAATTCAATCTAACGAAATTTTTTTTGATGCATTATTTATAATTGCCAGTGTATTATTGCTCGATTATCTGACTTTATTCAATGATTTTATTTAACAAATCTGAAGAACATATAGAAATAGGGTTTGCTACCTTTGCAGCTCTAATATACATGACCAAATTCTCAAATACAAAGATATAGATTTATCAAAATAGCAGATAAGAAAAACACCACTAATTCTTTGCATGCCTATAGATAAAGGGTGACCCAAACAACAATTCACTAACCAAAATGCCTTTTTGTTAAGAGAAACTATTAAATCTTCTCATAGCTGTAAAGAGAATTGGCATATATGCTCATATCAAAATAAACAAGAGTTTATTCTTATTATAGTTCTTGCACTACCAATTGCAGTCACAGAGCCAAATACAAAAACTAGTTCTTGTATTGCAACTTGCAGCTGTAAAGCCAAATACAAAACTGGTCTTTGTATTGCTACTGCAACTGTAAAGCCAAATACAAAACTGGTCCTTGCACTGCTACTGCAGCTATATAGCCAAATACAAAACTAGTTCTTGCACTGCTACTGCAGCTGTGGAGCCAAAAACAATAACAGGTTCTTGCACTGCTAATGCATCTGTGGAGCCTTATATAACAAAAACAACACTACTTGCTTGAAATTGAGTGAGTAAGAGAGGGTGATAGAGCTAGTCTTCACAAAGTGAGCAATAGTAAAAAGCAAGATAATCTTCTTCACTGATACAATTAGCCTTAAATACTTATCTCATATCACTGGTTTATTCTTGGCTATATTTATATAAACATTTTTGTCTTCGTGACTATATATTTACTTCTTTGTTTGCATAATGAAATAAACATATAATTGTGAAGACAAAAATATCTATTACTTATAATTTACTAGGCCAATTTTAACAGTTTAACTACTATTTTGCTCAAAATTCTCTTCTTTACAACTTTTGTTAGAAGTTAAAAAGAGGTTTGCTTAGTAAGAAATTAATTTATCTTTGGGAAAACTTCAGATTTCAAAAAAGGCAAAATTTATATAGTAAACATATCCCAAAGTTTACTATATTTTTTCTCTGGTTCTCTTATAAATCACAAATTAAGCATCAAAGTATATAGTAAATAACATTAACCTATTACACAGTGTTAGATATCTGATATTCTTAATGTTTTCAAGAATATTTAAAAAAATTTGAGAATATTCTCTTTTAAGAACAATCCAAGAATATATAATTTATAATTTATATTCTTAAAGAATTTTACTAAAATGCACCTATGGTAGTTTTACACTATAGGCCCTATTTCTCAAAAATGTACTAAGTAAACAGGATTGGGTCTTCTAAGTAAAAATGTTTAGAACCTCCAAAAACCTTATAAGAATTGAGATCGGGCCCTATTAGGCCTTTATAGTAGCTCTATAATATATTATATAAACAAAAAATTCTTAATTTCCTAACTCTAACCCTAAATTTTATTAAAAGAAATTATACATAGGTATAAAACCACCATAGATGTGTTTTATAATAATTCTTCTTAAAAACTAAATATTAATTTATAATATAACTATTTTAAATAAAATAAATTTTATTTTATTTTTTATTTCTATAAATAATAGTTTGATATATTATATTATATATATATATATTTTTTTTTTGTATTAAGTGATCCTGATTCTATTTATTTTATAAACTACCATAAGATTACTATACAAATAACAATCTAGGATAGTGTATTGTTCTATTCCAATAGAAACTTACCAAGCCAAAATCCAATGCAACCTTCTATAACAACTATTAGTCTTATAGCAAAATCCAAAACTTGCTTCAAATTTTGTATTGACAAAGAATACTCCCCTCAATTATTTGACAAGTTGTTATATACTGCATTAGGATCTCTTTTTTCACTCTTTTTCTCAAGGGCATAAGACAAAGGATAGAAATTTTCCAACAAAGAATAACAAAAACAATCAGAAAAAAAGAAAAAACATAAAAGAAAAAAGAAACACTGATTGTGAAAAAAGAAAAAATATAAAAAAATTATATACAGTTAGACCCCTCTAAATGCACCTTCTCTAAATATAGCACCCTCTAAATGCATGAAATAAGCTTAGGCCCATGGCAGGACTTATAGATAAATGCATGTTCTTTATTCTGTAAATGCACATTAATTGTCTGACCTGCTTATAAAAACTCTCTTCTAAGTGCATTCATGTGATTATAAGCCAATCAAATCTATTATTTCTAGGCTACTAAACTATATTTATCACATAATAATAGTGCATTGTAATTTTAATAGTGTTCTCTAATTGCAACCCTCCCTAAATACACACTCTAGAGCTGGTCCCAACAACATGCATTTAGGGAGGTCTAACTATACCAAATGCAACATTTGTATATCTTTTTTGTAAAGCTTTACTTTAACAGTTAAATTTACTTTTTTTTTTTTTTTTTTTTTTTTTTTTTTTTTAATATTGAGGTGACCA